AACCCAAAAGCTTGCAAAGAACAATTTCTCCAACTATTTAGCTGGTCTTATAAAAGATATCACACTTACCCAACAAACCATGTCTGCCTATGTCCTTAGACCAACCCGGCTACAAATAACACCCCTGATCACTTAGTTTTCACTCTTTTCTTGCCTACGGACAAATCAGAGCAGTTTTTTGATTTTTTTGCAACAGAAAAGAGCACAGCTATGGATTTGTATCTGAAATCTCTGGTTTTATCCTGTGAATCAAGGTTGTACACCCAACACCACTAACACTGTGGGGCTGAGAATCACTATTGTAGAGGTTCCTTGAATGACCCTCTTCAAGTTAACTGTGGTGTCACGATATATCTCAACACCACCTGGTTTAACCGAGTCCTCGGGTGATTTCCAGACAATCAAGCCCAGACACAATCGCTGAATTTCTGACTATATAAGAGATGATACACTGACTTGTATAATTAAGAGCTTGGAAAATCTTGTGGAGAATGATTTAAATTCCCCTTTCCATTTTCTTTTTTAATTCTCACAAAAATAGTTTTTTTTTTTTAAAAAAAATGGAGGAAAAGGACAAACTAAAGTGACAATGTGTGAAAATAACAAAGCTGAATCCTCCTTGTGTTCTAACAACAAAATATGCCACCTCAAGGAAAACTCAGATGTTTCTAAGACAGGCTGTATTTTGCAGCTTATGTTCAGGAGAGCTTAGAATCCAGTAACAGCTTTCAGTGTTTGAGGCAGAAGTCAGTACCACATCTCTCACTTTAAAATGTCCCCTCTACATTAACATGAAAAATGGACTGTGGATGCAGTGGCCAGAAACCTTCCCAAATACACAGGGAGGTGCGCAGTGAAGTTCCTAATGCAGAAATGATCTAATCAACAGGGAGGGGAACTAGGATTCTAGACCCCTCTTTTCTACTGCCAACTAATTCTCTGACCTTGGAAAGGCACTTCATCTGTATGCCCGAGTTTGCTCTTATGTAAAATGGAGATAACACTGACATACCTACCAGACATGTTACAAGAAATAATGAATTCAGGTCCATGCAGTGCTCTGAGGTCCTGGGACAGAAGGGGCAATGTAAGTATTGCAACTACTAGTCCTGGCAGGGAAAGGATTAAAGACTGAAGGGCCAGAAGAAGTGGGTGAAAACCCTGGGGTCTTGGTACATACCAGCTAATTCTACACTCACTGCCTCAGAAGCCCATTAAGCAAGGGAATAAAATGCCTACGCTCCAGTGCCTGAAGCTATTGCTGGCCTCCAGAAACAAAGGGGGAAAGAACACATTGAGAATGAGAGAGAGAGAGAGAGGAGCTAAATGGTTCTGCAGATGCAGGAGAAATGGAATTGCTAAGGTGGACAGAGAAAATACCCTGGTTCTCATGCCATGAGTCCACAGACCGCACCTCAGTAAGAGCAGAGTGATTTACATTTACAGCCAGTGCTTGCACATTTACAGCTAGTGCTTCTCCCAGACACAAAGCAGCAGCTGGGGACCAAGTAAGTTTTGCGGCACGAAGAATTAAGCAACATGTGGAAGGCCCTTGTTTAAGTGCTTTTAAGTCAGGGCTCTGCCTCTGCAGGTTCTCCTCCAGCTCAGGTTCAGACTGGGAGCTGGGGTATGCATTACTTTTACAGCCCTCAAATATGCTAGGGTAGGTTTGGCAGCAATGAAACCGTGGAAAGTGATTCAGAAACACTTCTGAGGTAATGGGGGCACGTTTAAAAGTGTCCAATATGCTCTTGGGGGAGACAGAGAAAAGAAAAAGAAAGAGAAAAGAAAAAAAAAACTAGAAGTAAAGGAAAAACGGAGAAATCAGGGTAAAGAAAATAAACAAAAGGAAAGAAAACGAGAAGAGAAAAGGGGAGCTCTGCTAGTTTAACCTCTCAGAAAGGGGTTTTGTCCTCTGTAATTAGGTCTTTTACACATCCCAGCACTTTGAGTCACTGCAAAAAGACAGTCCTATTCAAATTCTGCAAGTGCTCAGAGGATTATGGGAGATGGCTGTACAAACAAAAGCCGGGGGCAGCAGAAAGGGACATGCCAGTGTCACTGCTCAGCCGGACTCAAGGAGAGGCTGATCCCGCACCGACGATGACAAACGTGGCTGTAAACAGCAGCGGAGCGAGATGCTGACACTCTGCTAACACAAGGTTACACTTCCCACCACAGAGCTACAAGGCAAATTTTAATGGGCCAAGACTGACAGCAGGGAAATGAGTGTCCGCTGCAAAAATTACAGCTCCCCCCGCCCCCAGCCCATTCTCCACCGTCAGTGCTGTAACACAGCGACCTCTCGTTAGGGAGGATTTTTCAAATGTGGACAGTTTATCGCAAAATGACTGGATGACTCGAGGGATTCATGGTGGGAGAGAGAACCCCTTGCCTCCTATTTGGTGTTCAAAGCACGTGCACATCACGGGCAGCCGTTAGGAGACCTGCGTGCCATTGAGTTTGGTAGGGTCCCATCTTGAAAACTCCAGTAAGTCTAAATGCTCCCACAACTCCTCCTAGGCAACAAGCCTCATCCTGCACTGACTAAAGGCAACGAAGCTTCAAAGTGCCCAGCACGTAGCCGATGTCATTCTCCACCGTAGAGAATAACGTCCCTGGACAGGCCCGCTGAGGTCACAAGCATAATGCAAGCAGGATTAGATCCTAATGTGCCCTTCGCTGTCTGGCATAAGATGCCAGCATGTCACCTTCTCTTCTTATAGCTG